CTGCTAAGTTGTGTGGCGCATGACCAACACTGATGTCTTGTTCTCATCAACAGACTTTGCACTGGCGCAAATGAAGCAGGAGAACGCGACAACGATGCCCTGGTGCGTCACACCAGCGTGGACAGCGCCCGAGATTGTGCTGCGCAGAGGCACATGGAGCGGGCCGACGTCTTCTCCCTGGGCGTCATCATGTGGGAGGTGGCCACGCGCGAGTTGCCCTTTGCCGGCGATGAGAATGCTCGAGTGGCGCTCCACATCGTCGAGGGGAAGAGGCCCTCAATTCCGGCCAACTTGCCTCCCGGCTACGCTGATTTGATGCAGGCTTGCTGGCACGGGGAGGCGCTCCAGCGCCCAAGCGCTGAGCAGGTGGCCCACATGCTGGCGCCCCTCCTCTTGGTGTGATGATGCATTGTCTGTGAACTGGGTAATGGATGATGCAGACAAAACAACAAACAGGTCACACTCAACGTTGTCGTTTGGTACCAAACACAAAGGGTGCACACGATGACAAGACCTTTCTGTGGAATTATTACATTATCATTATTATTAATATTACATTATTATAATCAACCATGGTATGTTGGGAATGTGTAAACAAGTCAACAATATTTCCACGCCAGAGCAGGGGGAGGGGGGACGTTTCTTGCTGGAGGAGTGCCATGTCAGCAAACTGCACCAAGATGAGAGAAGATTTCCTACTCATTTTCTTTATATGAGATATTTTCGTTATATGAGATATTTTTGTTATATGAGATATTTTCGTTATGTAGAGGATGCATTCACTGGCAGGACTCTTGCTGTCGCTCTCCTGGGCTCTCTTTTTTTTTTCTAGAGAACTCTCTGGAAGTTAAGTGCTGTGAGGAGGAAGTTCAGGGGCTGATGCTGCAGAACAGTAGTGCAGGAGGTTCAGTGCTGCCACTGAAGGGGCAGCCTGACTCTGATCATGAGCCAGGCCTGTCCACCCCAAGGGTGATTAGTGTGCATTACCAATGTCTGTCAGAAAGGACTGGCCTTGAATTGTTGGGCTGCTTGCTCAGGTCTTGACCTAATATAAATATGCCTGCCAAGGGTGTGCACACAACACAATCACTTCAACCCACATACCCACTCCAAGCACCACCAGTTGCCTCTTGGCAACATGTTTGCTCAATCACCTTGCACCATTGGCACTGGCGCTCACTCACAGACACTGGACATCAAGACGGCCAACGCCTTGCATGCCCTGGACTGCACCAACAACCTGGAAGCCACCATTCAGCTCATTGGCCTGCCAACCCCAGCTGACAAAGCCAGCAACCTCACCTGGGTGCAGGCCATGGGCGCCTCTTTGCCTGCAAGTGGTGGCCAGCAGCACTTCATTCCCAGTGGAGTGTAAGTGATGTCACCACCCAGGTGGTCATGGGCAAGACCTGCTTGGTGGGTGTCATTGACACCAGAATCAGGGACCACCCCAACCTCAAGGACAAGGTGGTCATCCACAGGGACTACGTTGGCAACAACATTGTTGATCACACCAAGTGGAACCCCCACAGCATGCATGTGGCCAGCACCATTGCAGGCACATCCATCCTCCTTTCTTTTTATCATGTAGACACTAAATGGTGATCACTCCTTTTGTGTGTGTGTGTGTGAGCACAGCCAATGGGAAGATTGTGGGAGTTGCTCCTCATGCCCTATTGGCTGACTACTGAGTGCTTGATGTTGCTGGTGGTGGTTCTTACCA